AGAAATAATGCCTGTGAAGCAGAAACTGTATATGATTCAACCGAAGACAGTGGATGTCAATGGAAACAAAATTGCCACAATTCCGTACTTTGCGACGCATAATCAAGTCACACCCTCGATTTGTCAACCACTGTTTGAAGGGTTCTAATTAAGTTTTGGAGGAGTTCGATGGATAGCCCTGCCCATGAGAAGTCATCATATGTTTTGATTGCTCGATTTTCTCCTGATTCCCTTTTCATTTCTACCAGAACAAGAATTTGCTTCCAAAGATCTGGATCCTCAGAACAAATCGAGGCCGGCCTGTAGAGAAATGCCTAACTCGTCACATATGACTCGAACCCCTGGCCGTACGTGTGAGATAGTGCGCGACTTGCCACTACACCACCTCCTCCCTACTTAGCCTATACAATGTAGTGCTTTCACTCTCCTGAACAAGCTTGGTACCAAATTATTGAGCCTTGAGAGATGCAAGGCTTGCTTAGCCTTAGGGATATCGATACGGAAACAGAACTATGGACCATGCGTGTTTGATGGAGCGTAACTTACCACCTCACCCTCCTCTCCGTACCTGGAACTGACATACCGTAGAATAAGTTTTCAATTGATGCATAAAGTGCAGACAGACAAAGCAGAATCAAGCCTATGCGTGACAACAGAACGGCATAAACTGTTGACATTAGCCCTCAGACTTTAAAGCCCTGTAGCCATTTTTTGCGACACGTTTCCAATAGAGTTGCGATTTTTTTAACGCCATTCAAGGGGGCAAGGGTTCATTGCAGGCGGAGGCGCACGTTGTTGAGGTATGTCTAATATATGTATCTTAGATCTTACTCATTTATGTCAATTATTCCTCTAGCTTCGGTGGAGAAGCGAGTTATAAATTTAAGGATAAGATAAAGCTTTTGGCGGTAATCAATCCCGTCTGAGGGATGCTCCCCCGCACTCGACTTCCATTCGGAATCGTAGTGGCGTAATGAGTGCGTGTGTGGCCTATACATACAACGTCTTCCGGTAGCCAGCCGATGTACAATTCAGTGCTTTTATTCTCCCAGACAAATCTGGTACCAATTAACCGAACCCGGAAGGATGGAGGCTTGGTTGGCCCAGGCGGGTGTTGATCGGGAATTCGAACCCCCTGACCGTGCGTGTGAGATAGTGCGCCATATGCCATTACACCACCTCCGCCCTTGATTAAAGACATCGTGCGCAGTTATAAATTTATGTTATAAAAACTCTGCCTACGTTGGGGAAGCAAAGCTCACTTCAAATGTGCCCACTTGATCTCATTCGCCGACCCGTTTTTCCCCCTTGCTCACTCATTCTGATGTTTAGGCCAATTCTAAAGCGAATAATGGAGGTTCGCCCTGTACATCACACAATTCAGTGGGTATCCCGTGAACGGAGCCCTTTGAGCTCAAATATGCTCTGCCCATGTAGTCTTCTGCTCTAGCAATTTAGTTGATCCCACTTCTCCACGCTTTTCTTGACTCTATGAAAAATTCGTGATAGACGGACAGGTAAAAGCGAGCACTTTCTCTATAGTACTATTTGGAAACCACTATTACATCAGCATAAAACAGACACAAAAAGAAAAGCATGACTGATGGAAGCCGAAAATTCATGATGTTTATCTCATGCTGGAAGAGAATGATGTGGAACGATCCGTGTTAGGTCGTGGTCAAAAGCGTAACGATTCCTTGCCTATTTATTTTCATATACAATCAATAAAAACATTTAGATTCAAAGGGAGGGATAATTCAATCAGCTCCCTAATATCACTACATATCTTCTTATTTATTGATTTATTTGATTTCAGCTACATGTAGATAAATACATATGAATATAGATTAAGAAACAAAAAAGGAATAAAGTATGTGGACATATGTGATATAGTAAGCGGTATATAATAACAATAATAATATATATAATATAATATGTAATATAATATTATAATAATATATAACATGTAATATAGTATAATAATATGTAGTAAACAATATTTGTTCCTATGATTCGTTATATATAAATATAACAACAGCTATTGAAAGCGATATATAGCAGGAAAGTGCATTGCGTTTTCCTCATGATTTTAGAATCTTCACGAGAACTGCTTGGGCTTTCTAGCAATTGCTCAGATTTTTACTAATGACAAACCAAAACAAGAAGTATAACGCAAAGTTAATTTCGTTCTCTAAAGAGTTTTCCACAATGTCTATCGTAAAGGTTCTAGGCGAAATTCGAAACGGCACGGAGCTAGGAATCGTGGTGGAACGGTCACCATGGCAGCGTCATCAAAGGCGTAATAGCAACGAGAACGTTGTGCCACTTGGGATACCTGAAGAATGGCGCCGCCTACGCCCACAAAGGGAATTTCCTGCAATCATCTGGAATGAATTGCGCTGTTTGTGAATATCTGGTCTACATTCGAATCTAGTCGTGAACAAGGAACTGAAAGAGTACTGTGGTTAACTACATAGCCGCTTCGCAAATATAGCGGCGATTTTTCGACTTAATTTTCCAAAACCTTTCCCTACATTGTTAATTGGGTAAGTTTTCATTCAACACCACAATCTACACCATTCCGTCTAAGCGCAAATAGTTATTCGACATCGTAGGGGTACTCAATAAGAAGTTCGGAACATGACGAGCATCGAATTTGAGAAACGACAAAAAGAAATGTGGGACTTCTTTTTTTCAAAGCTGTGTGGACTTATGATCGAAGTTTGAATGTTGGTTTCGACATCACCTTTGTTAAGTTGATATTCCTCCTTGACGGAGCAGCTTGATAGGCAAAGCTAAAGATAGTGTGTACATACCTGTGTGAAATAGATGAGTTTCTTTGAAATTTACTTCACAACTGGAGTCAGGACATGGTCGTGAAGAGTAGGGATAAGCCTTCTCCATTTTGAGCGGTTGCATGCTATCAAGTTGGACCACTCTTTTCAGAATACCCCCTCCACTGTTGGGGAAGAAAAACTTTTTTATAGCGGAGCTGCGTTCCACATTGTCTACACAACAATGACTACTTGAGGTCACTTTTCATAGAAGTTTCTGAGTATAGGTCTCAACTACAGCAGTCGTAGCAATAGAATTTGGTAGACTATCCCTCGCTCCAAAATAAAAAAACAGATCATCGTATCCCTCAGGTTGTAACGATTCTTTCAGTAACAGTTTTTTTTCTTTTTCTTTTTTCGAACAATTGCACCTTCCCTTTCCTCCCAAATATTAGTGTCTTTAAAAGTCTGCTAGTAGTCTGCTAAACCTTTTATTAGCAAACTTGTTCTAAAACCACCTTCACGCGTGTAAGGCACTAGAACTGCACTGCCCAGCCCTCTCACTTGTCTGACTATTCAACGTAAAAGAAATAGTAAATCTACAAACAATCCTATTTGTACACTATGTAACAATTTGCATGAAAGAGTAACATTCACTTACATCGAGAGCACAGATCACCCAATGAATGGCTTCCGAGATATATCCTCTTAGGATGAAACTGCGGCTCTCAAGTTTGCCACATGTGACGCTGTGTTGTGCTGTCTTATGGAAAGCGGTTGATAGTTGGTTGTCAGATAGATATAGATATAGATATAGATATAGGTAGCATTATAGTAGTGAGATTGTGATCACTGTGAGAGAGAGCAGCATTGCGGAAAGCTCTATGCCGTTTGCCCCAGTAATAACAGTCTATCTTATATCGCTTTCATGCCACTTCTGGGGTAGCGGAACTTCACCCAGGTTCGCTTTGCGGCCCGCAGCATACCTTTTTAAGTTATCTCGCGGCTCCGAACTGCAATTACCGTACTTCCTCCCGCCAATCGATAGGACGCAATATTTTCCATTGACTTTCTTTTTTGACTGATTTTGATTGTCTTTTCTCTTCCTCTTTCCTTTTTATTTTATTGGATTTGATTGTTTGGAATGACTACACCTCTATTATAGATGATCGAGACCGCATTGGAACTGAAGAGAGCGGCCAGCGAATTTAAATAATTAAAGAACTCCCTAAATCACAAATTGCGCACTCCAATCTTCCATCGCAATTCCGCGATAAGCGGCGGGTGTGGCGAGCGCGATGCCGTGTTCGTGAGGAAGATACCGGAACCCCACTCCTGCTGCGTGATCTCGCACAAATCCTTTTAACCAACTTTTGAAGTTTTTTTTGGAGTCCGCTGAATTCATGCTTTCTTCGGCACCTTTCTCATATTCCGCATCATAATTCCTTTCGTTCATGCTAGTTATACCAAAATTATCGTGAACTGTAAATTCAAGAAAACTATGTATTGGAAGCTGGATGTATCGATACTACACATATTCGGCGGAACCTCAAAATACGTATGAATACGTTGAATTCAGTTGGATTGAATTTTGTGTCGTGTTAATCAACTACTCTTCATTGCACGCCACACTGTACTTGTGTCAGATTCGGGTAACGGAACTTCTCCCCTATCGCGGCATTCTCCCTTGCGGCATGCGGCAAATGTCACTGCAATTACCGTACTCACCCCGCCTCCCGCCAATCGATAGGACGCGATATTTTTCCTTGACTGGCTTGCTTTTTCATTGGATTTTGTCGTTTTTCCTTCTGTTTCTTTTTAGTTTTCATGTTTATTAGACTTGATTAATTAATATGACTCCTCCTATGTAAGCGGCGATTAAGACTGCATTGAAATTGAAGGAAGCGGTCAGCCAATTCAAATAATTAAAGGGCTCCCTACCTCACAAATTGCGCGCTCCAACTTCCATCGCAATTCTGCGGTTGGCGGCGGGTGCGGCGTGTGCGACGCCGTGTTAGGGGAGAAGTTCCCGGACCCGTCAGATTCGAAGGCCACATCCATATATCTACCACATACGCCATACGTTGAAATTCTAGTCGCCAGAATAGTCGACTCAATGGTCTTGTAAATTAACAACGACAATCTCAAACTTCAAGATAGTTTATTTGATTAATATTTATATAAGTGAAAGCTATCAATGGTTAAAACAAAAAGTTGTCCAGCCAACTACAAATTCTTTATCAGATCTGCTAAGCTCCGACCGAGCAAATCGGCTTCTTCCCACGTCCTTGCTTCAGCGTATACGCGAACGATGTTCTCCGTGCCAGAAGGCCTAATAAAGCAAAGCATAATTGCAAATCATGATCACCAATTCCTATAAAGGAAACAAAAACGCCTATTTGATGAAGCTGTTATACCTTACGAAGGCTCGAGCACAATGGTACTGTTGAACGAGGTCATTTATTTTCTCCTGAACACCTTCAGGCTCGAGAAGTACCGTCTCCTCATATGATGTCCTGTATTTCGAACGATCGTTGACCTAAGTATTCGTTTATGAGTGAAAGAAAATCGCAACTGCAATGTACAATTGTTTCTATGGCATTGTCATTTATCCGATAACAGCGAGACTGTGGCCTCATTCTGGGCACAGATCGCGATAGCCCCAGGTTTTGAATCAGAGAGTGGAAGCGAAAGTCCCATAGTTGTATGCACATCGAAGACAAAAAAAGCGAAAGGAAGACCACAGAATTTCAATGATATTAGTCTTAAGGTGTGTGCAAGTCACTGTAGAAGAACTGTTTTCTGAAGATGTTTTCAGCAATCCTTCTGTCAAAACTTTTCTCTCTCTGTATAGTTATGGGTCAGTAAGTTCATCACAAGAACGCTGTCTGTCTCTGATCAAACCATCGAAACTTCGAGGAGAGAATGCACTGGTTTTATTGTACTTTGTCGCAGCTTTCTATTTCATGTAAAACACTACAAAGTAACAGGGGACGCTATAATGAGCCGTTTTGTGAATAAATTACCTTCTGAGACATTCTGATAGAACTTTATCTCAAAGAACGGATGTGTAAAAAATTAAGTCGCTTCTGAAACCTTGCTGCCCTCGGCGGGCCACACCAACACGGGTAACGTAAATTCTCCCCTATCGCGGCATTCCCCCTTGCGGCTTGCGGCGAATGTCACTGCAATTACCGTACTCACCCCGCCTCCCGGAAATCGATAGGACGCGATATTTTTCCTTGACTGGCTTGCTTTTTCATTGGNCTACCTCACAAATTGCGCGCTCCAACCTTTCATCGCAATCCTGCGATAGGCGGCGGGTGCGGCGTGTGCGATGCCGTGTTAGGGGAGAAGTTCCCGGACCCCACCAACACCACTCGGTCCCACACGCCAGACACGGTCAGGAAGCGCGGTCGACTATTGGCTCACGGTAAGGTTGTGGAAACTCGCATGTCTCCCCTTGTATATTATCATGTTGATTGCTCGAGAAGTGTTCTGGAAGTTCAGTTCTCTAGCCTTGCGATCATATTCACACAGCTTGGACAAAATTTTTGATACTTCAAATTTTTTGTTGCACAACTTTCTTGCAAACTATACCTACTTTGCACGAACACTAGCATCGGAAACGTGTATCGAAGGTCTGATGAGGCAAGCTAACAAAGTCAAGTACAACTTCATTGGACTAACCAAGACGATGAGGCATTCTCAGTTGCCCCGTTTTCGAGGGTGAAGAAGAACTGTTCCATGAAACATGTCGCAGTAGAGGGATTGGCGTTGGCTCTTTTATTGCGCTGTTGGTTATGAACCTTGATTCCTACGGAAGCTTGACTGCTTGAACCAATTTGTGATTAATAATATATGGCTCAACCCCAGTACTAACAATTTTCGTTGCCCACGCACCAACTTCAAGCCACAAAGAAGAGGAACCGTTCTCGTTGATGTTTTCAATGCCAAGATTGGCTCCAAAATGGCCTAAAAGATGCATATTGGGATTTCTAAGGGAAGGGGAAGACTGGGGTGAAAGAGTGTCCAGGATTGTCATGGCGAAAACACCATCTATACTAATTCGTAGCTCGACAGACCCCCTCGTTTGCGATGGAATTGGGAGTCATCTGTCGGACAAGTCCATAATAAAATAATATAATAGATCGCATCATTTTCAATCAAATGTTTTGCTCATCGCTGCTGTCCCGGAGTTCTACACGGGATCGGATACATGCCTGAGGAATACGACCGGCTTGTTGTGCATGTAATTACTGCTAATTTCCGAGATTGCGAAGCTAAGAAAGGTCTGCAAATAAGAAAAGTAGCAGTTCTGGTCGAAGCCAAAGACTGCGACTGCAGTGTGCCGCAAAGTGACCATATCTTTACCGATTACAACACCATGGTGACTTCCTTTTGACTGACGGAATGACTTTTCCTTTTGACAAAATAGTCATTGCATTTCTTGCAACGTTCTCCTTGTGAACTTCAGTCTTGAGCCGATCCTTCCACAAGCGCTGCGCAGCATTGTTTCGTCTGCTTGATGTTCGCTGTTACAAACACGATGGCATCTGCAATGCGAAAATGATGTAAATAATGGCCTTCACTCCCTGCCCATTACAAATGACACGAATCTTCAATCTTCGGCACTAAAGAGTTTGGACGAGATGGTTTCACTATGTCGAAATTCGTGACGATTCGAACGACTCTAGCTCCTATTCTTGGAAAACAAACTTGAAGTAGATTAGTATGGTCAACTGATTCTACTAATCTACTCTACTTCAGATTTGGGCCCCAATAATAGGCGCTAAAGTCGTCAAGTGGCCATGATTATCGCCGCGCAATTTGCAGTGCGCAGCTTGAATTGCACGAATGTGACGCCTCCTCCACGTTGACAGTGGCTTATATATAGAATGACGAAATCCTGGTTGTCACTCCATATGGAGGACTAGTTTTCCAACAGATATCCCAAGGAGAGTCTAGACAGGGTTTTGACTATGAATGGTGAATAGCTTCTAGAATCCTTTTGAAGCTTCTCCGATTTCCGAGCTTCTTTCTCATAAACAATCTTCACCAACGTAGTAGCATGTCGAATTTTGGAAGCATAAACTGGAAGCATCAGTGGCATACACATCTTAGCAGTTAGGCAGATGGCCATGGCTCTCGAAGAGATTCAAATAGAGGAATCCTTCTAGACGACTTCCCCACTGACCTAATTGGTAAATGATGCTTCCTTCACACTAGACGGAACGAATGTTTTTGAGTTCTCTAGTTACGTGCATCTAGGTCGAGAAGTCAACATGATGAACGACCAGTTTCGGAGCTGAGTGGGGCGTGGGAACATTCAAGAACATTGAAGGATATTAAAAATCAGAACGAGGATGCATCCATATTCAATGCGCAGTGCCTGAGACGATGCTTGGAATTTTCCGATACATACAAGCGCAGAGTGGAATATAGTGTAAGGGGTCCCCTCAAAGAAGTAACGTCGTTGCTTGTACTTGGTAATCGAAGATCAGGGAGGCCGGATACGTCATAAGGCATGGTGAACGTTTGACCAGTGCGAATAGCGACCTAAACTCTCGGATGTCACGAGAAGATAAGTAAATCCGCAAGTCCAGACTTCTTGATGATGATCAACGGGTGAGGGTTGATAAAGGTAAACTCAATGACTCAACTGAGGATGCTTCAAGTCGGGACTATAGATGATGCTGACGAATAATAACTACAATGTGTGTAGTGAAAACTTTTTGCCATTTGCTCTCTCTTATTGATCTAATCCCGCCATTTGCTACGATTTCAAGGAAGACGTGGTCGAACAAATATCAGTGTTACCCATATCGGAATGAATGGTAAACATGACCTTTCTTAGGATGCTATCAGTTGAGGTACATGTAGTGATTTTTCAAATCCTATTATCATCATCATTATTTCTCAACCATCACTCAACATGTCAGCCCATCATCGGCATCCTTTCTCAATTACATCGCTTAAGCATGGAGGCTGAATCATCACTGGCCTCCGAGTATTTTGTGGCGGACGGTTTTTATGTTTTAGTAAAGTTCTATCAGATACATTGATGGTCCGCTCATTCCCAATTACTTTCTAATACGAAGTGAGCATGATCGAGTTTCTATGAATCTTGGTATGATATGACTCGCTATGAAAGCGTTGGAATAGACAGTCTGGAAGGCCTTTGGAAGATCTTACTCATTCCCTAGGTGGGTTCCTAGTTGTGACTTACTAGACCCTTCTCGATATCTGTAAGTTATACTTCAACTAAGCTGAAGTCTAAGACGGTGTTTGATATGGATGAATCTCAAAATGTTTTGGCTTTCAGGTCCTGACAAAGGCGACAACGTCGAAACGTACGCAGAATTAAGAGTTATATCATCTTAGCTGAGGCTTCACAAAAACACCTTTATATCGAGACTCTCTAATGCGTTCAATGGAGATCAATGTTTAAAAGAATTATGTGCCCCTCCTGAAGGCTTCCTGGCAACAGTTACGTTTTATATTACCTATTCCCCCTCTTATAACTACATTTGAGAGCGAGCGTTTCTTTGAGCTAGTGAAAGCTACATCGATTTCAGATACTGCTTTTCCAAGAAACAATATGAGACCTTATGAGCTCCTTCGTTTTCTACAATGTTACCCACCATCTACGGACTCGCCAATAGCGCGCCAGTCTCACACACCATTAACGGCCATGACTATGTCCAGATCATGTCTTTTGCATTCCTGCCAATTTGAACGCTCCAAGCCCAGAGTAGCGAGGCAGTAAAGTTTCGATGGAACACACACACCCGAATACAAAACATGAAAAGGGAAACATGACGAATGATGAGAAGAAGAGCAAGTGAAACATACAGGAACTTTGATTTGAACGTTGGGTGCATTTGTGTAAAGAGATTGCTCCCAATCGTCGACGGAATAGCCGTACCAACGTAAGAGAGATTCGACCAACAGAAGGTCTGCCATAGCGTCACCGACCACCTAGAATAATAATAATAATTAGGCACAGAAGCGACTAGATAACTAAGAACAGAAGCGACTAGGTGAAAGAGAAAAACGAGGGTTACTGAAAAATATTAGTATGCTTTCGAATCGGCTTTTTACGATTGAAACGGAGCGGTTGCTTTTCGACAGATTATAGTGTTTCATTATGAATGTTCTACATATACTTTATCGCATGCTTCGAGGGTTCTTTCAATGACTTGTGCTCATCATTCAGTCACTGGAAATCCCTACCGAAATAATGAATACAGAATGGCCTAAAATTATAGGTGCTCAGTTATTGCAATTAGTATAAAACTTTTTCTTGGAAAATAACTTAAAATCTATGTATATACTCGTTTGCTTACATTATGTGTAATGACAAGCTACAATCACCCTTCAAAATATTCTCCCTCCATTGGCAGGAATGAGAGCCCAGAGTCGGTTTTTGACTTACTTGTATGTTGCATAGCATTCCTCTTTGCTAATGATCGGGCAGTTGGCGTCGGCACCACTGTACGCAAACTTGGCTCTGTGTGGTGGAGCACCGCACTGCTTGAAGGACCGCGAACTGTTGGAAAGCGGAGTCGGACCAAGCTCATGCTGCCTCATCAATATGCTTTTCAAGTGACCCCTTAATTTTCACGCCGACAGAGACGAAACCAACGCGTTCTTCTATTGCCAGTAACTATCACGAAAAACGTCAGTGCACGATATTGCGCCTCTGTTACCACACCGCCTTCGCATGAAAAACACTATTTCAGTGAAGCACTACTTCAGTTTCGTTATTTGGAAGTCATAAGTATCAGCATGTTTGAGGATATTGAAGAGCACTGACTATTTTGGAATTCTTCTAATATTGTAGCAAATTTCAGCTACAGTATGAGATTCTACTGCTTTGTCTCGAATCTTTTTGTTTTCAAGAAAGCAATGATCCGTCGCAAATCGTCCCTTTGTCACACCTTTTCCTGACTTACTCCAATCGAGTCAAAAGTAAGACCAGCGGGAAGCCCTGCTCGTTGAGAATTCAAATGTATTTTGAATTGTCGATTTTCCCAAATGTTTCTACTTCATTTCCTACATAAATGAAGATTGAGTCTCTTGGCACCTATGGCGTTACTTGCGGGTATAAAGGCATCGTAAGCCTCCACATCGATTGTTAATCTTGTTCATAATTCTGAAAAGGCAAAAGTGGCACTATATTCAAAGAGATCATAGAATCCTGGTCATGTTCGTCTCTTTCATTGCAAAATTTAAGCACTTTCATTCAGGTAAAAACAGTGGTTCAAATTACCAGCTTTTAGACATTTGCTACTTCTTCCCAGCCATGTAGTTTGCCCAAAAACCACTCAGTAGCCTTTTTTATAGAAAATGGTGCCTCGGAGATGCACGGGCACGTTGCGCAGCGAAATTCGTGGCGATTTGAAAGACTCTGGCGCTTATCATTGGAGCACGAGTTTCAAGTAGATTAGATTAGTAGGATCAGCTGTCTCTACTAGACTGCTCTACGTACTTCAAACCTGTGCCCCAGTGACAGGCGCCGGAGTCCTTCAAATCGCCACGAATTTCGCCGTGCAATTTGCCGCGTGCATCTCCGAATGCTCCAATGCTTCGTTCCCCTTCTCTCTTGTTACGGAATTCAAAGTTTGAGACTTCAAGTGCCCAATTAGCTGATAATGTTGAAATTATGTCATGTAAGATAGCAAGACAATCAAGATTTAACGTTTCCCTCATATTCAATGCCATTCATGCCTTTTAAAAACTCATTTCCAGTTTCCATTTAAATTGGAGAGTTTATGCTGCCCCAATCTTCATTCTTCTTTTTTTGGAAATGATCCGAGAATTAGTGGCAGTATTGTATCAAACAATCGCGCATCTCAGCTCACATATGTTACCCGTTTTGAACGAGAAGCAAATAGGATCATCGCGAATCCCGAAGAAGTTCTAACCAAGGCGAGTTTAGCTCAGCAGCCCGGTCTCGTTCACACCGTTGTTCCATGTACATGTAAAGCGTTTCGAACCTACGCTAGTTATACCCGGGGAAAGAGGTGGGCGACCAAGATCAACTTCACTAAGGGAAGGCCGCTACTTTGTGGAGAAGAGAAGACATCCACGTCAATCCGTCTCTGATTGCAATGATATTTGACCTTTGAAACCTGACACTTTAAGGTGAACCATCTTGTGCACTACAGTGGCACGACTGCACGGTGACGGTCTCCTCGCTCGAAGAACGCTGAGTTGTGTTCCTTTGACTCTCGCGCATCAGCGAGTCTGTTTACACTGGTGCCAAGAACATAGCGAATGGAACGATGAGGAAAGGAGCAAAGTGCTCTTTATTAACAGATGAGAGCAGATTTAGTCTGAGCAGTGATTTTAGATGCACCCTCACACGACAGAAAGTTGGAACGCGTCACTTTCCGAACGCATTGTCGAACGTGTGTGATGGGATACTGTTTTCTCATGTGCGTTTTTCAAAGCTGCAGTCGGCCCCAAATTCGCTTTTACAATACACGACCTCGTCAAACACCACAACAGGAGAAATTTTCGGAACGAGAGGATATCCGATGATTGGAGTGGCCTACCCGCTTTTCTCCAATATAAATCCCATCGAGCACGTGTGGGATGCGCTGGATAGACGCATTGCAGCACGTCCAAATGTACCATTCACCAGTTATCAACTGTCTGATAGAGGAATGAACGCTCTACCCAAGGAACTTATAACTAACCTCGTGCAAAATATAGTATCGCTTTGCAGAGCACATATTGTTGGCCGTGGTGATCAAACACCCCGCTAAAAATCGCGTCACTTTTTTGAAATATCAGGATAGACTGTGAAGACACTTGTGTGTAATCAGTACCTTCGCATAAAAATATAATATCTACTGGTCTTCGAATTTCTGTCAGTTGCTTCCTGTGCAATACCGTGGTGGTCCTCTCTTAGTTTGGTATGCTTTTCGCGAGCTATGCGATCTGGTAGAGGTACAGTAATCGGAAGTTGCTAGTCCTTGAGCTTTGCACAACAGTGCATTCAAGGTGAAGTAGAACTTACGACTGATAAGAACGGCTTTTTATCTCGCCTACAATCGAGTTATCTTCTTTATGCATTCCTGTAAACTCATCGTGTTGATGTTTCTTTGTAATACCAAGGCAAATCTAACGTTACGTACAAGAATTCAAAGCATACCTCATTAATGATATTAGAGAGGAAGTGAAGTCGTTTCACAGCGTCACTGGATTGATCACCTCTAAAATTCACGTTTTGTTAATTAATAATGAGGCATCAGACGAGGAAATGAGGTAACGTGGATACTGCCATAAAAGCGTTACATTAAAAGATCGAGAATATATTATCATCATTGGATACCTGAGAAACTAGAAGAGTAGATTCTGCGCAAAATGCGCAGCAACCTGTGCAAGTTGCCGTGCTAGAAATGACCTTAACGTCTTTAACTTGAATGGGATGAATTCGAGTAAGTTCTCTACCTCCTTCAATGCCATCCCTTAGCCATCTACTGATATTATGGTACGACTGTTTTGCGACCAGTGAAATCTTATTTCAGTGCATGCCGTGAGAAGTACCTACATCTTTCGACTGCATTACATATGTCACTAAATGCAGCAACCTCATAAAGAAATTCATTCTTAGGTTTCAAAAATATAGTAATGCACTGTATAACATTCTCGATGTCCCCATTACTGGGATGTGTAAGCAATAAGCTTATGAGCTTATGGTAAGCAGTTATAAAAATTACGCATAATATCATGTTTAAGGGGAAAAAAGTTGATCGACTCCTATAAATTATCGAAAGCACCCACTTTCTTACGAGCTGGTCGAATTTTTCACTGAAAACTACTGTTCCGTGTCCATTTGCCTCGAAGTAAACACCAATATCGAATTTTAGAGCGGCATGATGCAAATGCTTCACGCCTGTTGGCACAAAAATAGGCGTCACACCCTGAAATGATAGCAATACTGGAAGACGGTTTCAAACCAATGGCAGATGTACGTCGCTTACTGCTCATGATTGATCAAGGCCTTGAATGGTGACGATTATTTATTATTCTGCAACAATAGATCTCTTTCAAAGTACAGCTCGCGACAAAACAGTTTCTGGTATAACCTCCCAGAATGAATGTGTGGCACCTCGCACACCATGTATGGGTCTGTCTGAACGGAAAACGGCCTGGATAGGTTAAGTACTCAAAGTGATAAGCTGTCTCTAGTAGCGGATAAGTTTCAACGTCGTCATCCACAAGAGACAGTCATTTTAGAAACCCTATTGATCAGTCGAATTCATGGAGGAAGTGATAGGAGGTTTCGGACACTTTTGGCTTTATGTAGTTAGCTCTTTAACAACTGCAACACNTGAAATCTGACCCGATCACCCCCTCCTCTCATGCTAGCTCCGTCATGAAATCTTGCACACTATTCACACGATCTCTAAAACTTTATTTTTCGCGGAACTGACGAAATTTCTTGCTTTGTCGCTGGCGATGATTCCCCTACCACACTATGGCTTTTCAACTTGCGAAGGGTACCATTATCGTGAATGATGCCTTCAAGAGAAGCAGATGTACACTTCTGTGAGATGCAAGACTTACCACAACTTCTTGTAAGTACTTTGTTGAGTTGCCATTAGCATAGGCAGTTTGAATAACACCGACGGACAGTTCAGTGATTCCAGCATCATTCAATGTCTGAACTGCACAAATGTAGAAATATAACGAGATGCCTTCAAGATAGGACAAGGGAACACGCCTACAGCAATCACAATGAGCATGCTTTTATAGCTGTTTTCAGCTCGGGATGTCCTGAAGATACTTTGAATAGTCTGGGGGCTACTTGTGAAAGAAGTGCCGAGAAGGTTTAAACAACACCACTCTGTAAGACATTACTCGCCGAGTTGGTTCGGATGTTGCCGACATTTGCGTCTGCTTTCTGCTGATCAGACGAACGGCAACGATGAACTAGCTGGCAGAAGCGGCAGGTCAAGGCAGAAAAGTTCACGAGCAATGTCACGTGGTGCTGTGATTGTTGTAGCACCTATTTCCATCTTCATAAGGCGCCTACACTCATACCCAATCTGCAGTGACTAGCCGACTGCCGGCATTCTTCCTCAACACTGACATGTAGAAGATAAAATCGTACATTCAATGATGAAAGCAAGACTGACAACAGAACCAATTCATGATAGCTCTTTCAATCTCGAGAAATGAAAGGGAGTTGCATCTTCACTGAAGGCACCCACAGTCTAGATGTGCTTCCATTGTTGAAAGGGACATAAGACTGAAGCAGTAGAATGACACTCTAGAGATTCTTTTTTCAAATTAGGCTTGCCTGGTCATTTTTGTTCTGAGAAGTGTACAGTGGACAGGGAATCGCAAAAACCGAGCGCGACGTGAAATGCATTTAGCAACAAGTGCAAGAAAGTCACTATGATTGGAGGAAAACCGATCTTTCGGTCGAAGCGAGCAGCACAACAGGACATATTTACGATTATGATTCGAACTTTTTACCTCTTTTATGAATTTCGTTAGCAGCACAGCAATAAGATCACCATCCAACAATGCAGCCTTTTTCCCATCTCCTGTTGCTCTGCAATAAACTATTAGCGTTACTTTCTTCGATCGTCCTCTCATCTCAACCAATGGCTCTCTCTATAGCTCTAGCCTATTTCTAATGCTACTCGAAAGGCGCTTTGCTAGAGCAGCACAATGCTGAGCTCGAACCCGTTTGAGTAAGGTAGACAAAGTACAAACCAACATAATAGTAGGTGTACGATGTTTTCAGATTAGCATCGATGAAACGGACATGCATTTATGATGAAGAATTTCATAAACCATCATTTGAATGAGCAGCTTTCCAGAATAATTCTCAGATAGATCTTCTCTTCAACTTCTGCCTACTTCAGGGGAGATCTTAAGGTGGTTGAACATAGCAATAAGAGACGCTACCTCAAGCGGAAAATGGAGCGTAAGTTGTGAACAAACAAAGAATGTCCAGCATTGCAAGAGTTAAGAGTCATTTTAGGAGAACATGGCTAGCTACTCGAAATGTACTTTGCCCTCTACGTCGGCGTCGCGTATGCTTTCTATGAAGCTCTTCTCGGATAACATAGTCATATAAGTGCCAACCTTCCTCTGAGCACCGAGAGAATGAGACATTATCAACGAATGTGTCCAAGCAAGAGTCGCACCGATTGAGGGGTAATGAAACTTTGATTTAAGATCAAACGTAAGCAACCCAAATTTCTATTTTTCCATTCAATTAATGACTTTTTCAGCCGCAAGCGATATAGGTGTTTCTGTCAAAACCCCCTGGATAACAACTCTCACACCGAATTCTTACAGTCAAAATCTGGCATTGTGATTGCCAAGATTAGCTCAACACCTTTCATAGCGATGTGACTACTTTCACAGTCCGCCGGCGAGCCGGCGTAGCGGCGGAGGTAGGGCTGAGGTGGGGAGGGAGGCAGATGGGACTGATCGACGCGGCCGCGTCGCGCCCAAGCCCCTTCGAAGGGCTGAAAACAAAGATAGGCAAGATCAAAACAATTTGCATTTGCCCTCCGAAGGGGTTTAAGCGCGACGCAACCGCGTCGAACGGTCAAGCATAAGTCATTTTTTGGAACACAAAGTCTATAGAGAAAGCCATATACCCTCCACGGTTCTCTGGAATTCGTGCGATCACAAAATCAACAGTAGTCCCAAAGGAATGGCTGAAAAATTTCATTCCGGTGCTCAAAGAATTAAATGCAATGCATATGATGAAAGGTAGTTAGCTCATACCATGTCGACCAGGGCCATGCGCATCAGTTTGCAAAGCTTTCTCGTTCGCGCAAAATTAATGATAAACAAATGCACAGCGGTACAAAAGACACCATTTCGTGATAAATGGTACTCCCAAACGACAGCATTGATCGAACTATTGTTTCTTCCGAGCGGGTATCCCTCATCGATTTTCTAGATCGTGAGCGGTTAATGTATTCATTCGTCCCTGTTGCGTGCCAGAGTAATCCAATAGATCGTCCTTGCCCGAGGGACACTTTCGCACTATTACTGCACTATTACTATTATTAATCTGCAAGTCTTGAGTTTTAGATGATCTGAAAGGGCACACGATAATTTCCAAGACTCTAAAAGGTCTGAAACTATATACCCCAACATTATCGTGTGCCGTGCCTCTAACTAATACTGAATGTGAGGATAAAAACACCGTCTTACTGATTAGGTGGGCGCATCTCGATAGGGAATGGATCAATGCTTAAGATCAAGCCAGTATATGGAACCGCGTTTCACCATCAACTTCAGCATTTCCTTTACTTTCGAAAGAGACCCAGTGATGCACTCTCGCATGCTTCGTCAACTTCTTCAAAAAAGGCCCTTATACCATTACTGTCGTTCGGAATAAGTTGTGTGTATCTAAATAACTCGAACGAAGACAACCATGTTCACAGATAGAGAACGTGCCGTAGTGGCTACTTGATTCTTCGCAGTTGAGAGGGCAGTCCAACTTATAGAAAAGAACCAGGGGAACTTGGTCAAAAGCAACATCTAATCCGAACAGTTCTAGGCAGGCGACAAAGCCTAAAAGGCACATGCTCCTTGAAGGAACAAAATCGTAATATCTGAACGGTGACAATTCTTTTTGAATTCGAACTGTTGAAAGGTTGCAGTAGCGGGTACTTTTACTAGGCCGTTTGGCATACTCGCTTCGCTTCCATCCCTCGGAGTATAAGATGACCGAGAACTAAAGCGCCTAGCCCATTCAGATACTAAAAACGGACTCCAAGGCACTGTCTAATGATACTGGTAACAGTCGATAGGAGCACAACACTGACTCATTTTGATAATTGTGTGCCAGTCACTGCTCGTGCTGTGCGTTCTTTGCCGAAGTACAGCTTGTCTCTAGGCTTGCCTGGATAACCTATTATATTAGCGCTTCCATACCACCAAGCAGCATTGTTACCAACTCCCTAATATTGGGGCCATGAGACTCAAATGGCAGTACATGTACAACGGTCGTGAAATTCAGATTACATTACGTGTTAAACCCAATAATAAACAGCATTCGGCCATGGCAGGTTTTTCGCTACACAAGTAATAAAAAAAAGAATTACCGGAAATATATCAATCTGTCTGCATCACCATCAAACGAAGCGCACTTTGTCGTAACACTCACATCTTCGAAGCCGGCCGGTAAAACTTGACCAATTTTTACGTAATCTGCACCACACTGAAATTTTTTTGTACAGAAAAAAAACAGAAGCCAATATTTCTTTATGACAACTCCTTCGAATGCTTTCAGTAAATGCTTTTACTGACATCGTTTGCGTCATTAAGGTAGAAATGCACCTAGTTTTCTCCCCATCAGACCAGGACTTATTTCGTGAAATTGCAAGTCTTACGAAGTGAAGACAATGTAGACATTAATATGGATACAGCCATTATACCAAAATGACCACACATGGCTTTGAGCACTGCTCGTTTGTTCATGTCCAAAGTCCAAAGAGGTATTTTCAATTCCACGATGATCAGATAGGCGTTGAAGCCCATCTAATCGTGAGTAAAAATGTTCAATCTTCGCGATCTTCCTATTCTATAATACGGTCGAGACCGTCGTTCCAGTCACGACAAACGCTAGAGTATTTAGCGTCGATGAGTCTGGATTCACGTGTTCGTGTTCTTTTTCTTGCAAAGGATAATGAAACTAGTCACTGCGTGCACTCAAGCTACGGATATCTACTCTATGGGGACAGAATCGCATCAGTAACTTCAGATTTCACAACTTGCTGTGATTCATAGCAATTGCTGCGCAAGTATAGAATCATCAGTAACTAGAGTAATCGGATCGTAAATCAAAATGGGAAGCAATTACCACCTACTTCGTGATTGAGCTCGCCGTCTTCATTCCTGAATTGAATGTTTAATGAGTCTTCTGGCAAAAAACGGCACAGCATGCGCATCTTTTCACCGCCGACCCCATTTGCACAGTCAAGTGTCAAGTTGGGTGAATAATGTGACTTTTCCGACAGCGTTCCGAGCTGAAATACTTTCATTTGAAATCTTGAAGATGACGAATTACATGATGACCACTATTTTTCTAACCATTTTTTTATATGTACCAGTTGGGCTACGCACGCGAATGCGTGCACCACATGCCCACTACCGCTTACCTTCGACTTGTTAGAAGAACAATATGAACAGTATCGATTGACTTCTCATTTCATGACTGCTTCCTCACCGCGCTCACGTGGCATTAACATTCTTCACAGTGCCTCAGTGATTTTCGGAAAGACGCACAAATCGACCCACAAACAGGCATACAAAGTTACCGCTTTATATACAGAGACAGTGGGACCGCCCGGCTAACGCCGGGCTTCCCTCCTTCTTATGATAGAGTCGTGATGAACGGCAAACAGCACACTACTTTTTTGGAACGAATGATACTTTTCGGAAGGCGAAGTTCGAGAGAGGAACAATAGGGCATGCAAACGATATTCGAAATACGAAACAACGATATTCAGTGTTGATGCCTATGCCATTGTCTGTTCCGATCTGTCGCCGCTGATGTTAAAAATGTCCGTCTCGAACTGTCGCTGTTCATGCTGAAAATAATGACCCATTGAATACTTCACTGGTAGGCATCCAAACCCTTGAGTGGTACTTACAAATGTTGTCGAGCCATAACAATACCATTGTCAAATATCTTTATGAACGTAGCTCCTTTCATCTACTGATACATCATTAAGTAAAAATCCAATATTGTTAGCGGCCGGGTAAGTTTTGCCATGAATGATATCGAAGCAGAGAGAAACCGTGATCCTTCATTAAAACGCATGCTTCGCTGTGTAGCGGTCGTAAGCAAAAAGTGAACCAAATTTCATAGTCGGTCCCTAGCAATGTACCTAACCTTCTTGAAAAACTCAAATCAGGCCCAATTTAACTGTTTTTGAGGAAGCCCCTCCAGTGGGCGGAGTCTACGCCTGCCACTCACCATTAGTGTTCCCATCTTGCCACCTGCACCTCTGCCAAATTTGAACGACCCAGGTCCAATTTGACTGTTTTTGATGAAGCCCCCCTCAGTGGGCGGAGTTTACGCCTGTTACCCACCATTAGTTTTCCCATCTTGCCACCTACACCTCTGCCAAATTTGAATACTCTAGGCTCAGGAGCAAAGGAGTTACAGACTTTCGGTGAACTACACTATTCGCGCAAGCCCCGCCCCTAGTGGGCGGAGCCTAGCGTAGATCACGTGTACTCAAGGAGTTCGGCTCATTCCCCACTTGTTCATCCCCAATCCCCACTTATTCCAACCTGCCTAAGTTGTTAAATTTGATTTCCAAAGTTGGTTACAGTGAAACAGACATACAAACATACAGACATACAGACAAACAGAAAAACGGACATTTGTGGTTTATATATAGTAAGGATAACAACTACTATGCGGGTGGCGGTGCCTGAGCTCAAACACCTATGGAATCCGGCAGTGGTTGCGCAGCAATTACTGCAATCTTACATTGAGAACACGAGCCTTCCCTTCACAGAGGACGAATTACTCTTTACAGAGGACGAATGCCTGCGATCACATACGGCGAATGTGGCAGACGTTCCGGTACAGAGTTCCACACACCTATAGTGCTGTCGCTGCAATGAGGAAAACTCCTCGCAAATTTTGTCCAATATGTTGGGAACACAAGATGCCAGAAAGGGATAAGTGGATGCAAGATTGCTATAGCAGCAAGGTTTCCAAGAAAAAAAGGTGGGAAAACAATATCGCAGGATTAAAAGTAGAAATGAATATCAGACCGCTTCCAAACTTTTGCATATCGCACATTCTGCCTGACCCCCTCTCACCACTTCTCCTTGGCTTCCTAGCTTTTTTACTCAATGTCATACCTATAAATACATCCCTTCCCAACACCCATACCGCGCGATGAACGGTGGTGAAAATGGTGAGATGGTGAAAATTATGCACAGCAACTAAATACCCAACTTTACGTCTGTTCAAACAGCAGAGTTCTGTTGCGACTAAAGCCTACGTACGCAATGCATTCCCATGGCATTCCTCAAACGTCTATACTTCACGTTTTCTAGCCTAACGACTAGTAGCGAGAAGTAAATATAGCGCTCAAAAGTATTCGGCCATACGCTTTCATGTTTTTTCGTTCATAACCTTTTTCTTAGTGGAGCAAATCGCGCGAAATTTTGATATGTTTAACTTAAGCATATTTCACACCATATAACCCTGTTTGACGACGAAGCAGCAATATCTACATAACTAAGAGCAGGATGGTAGCAGACTTCGTTTCAACAAAGTTAGTGACGTCTGCCGTTATTTGCACCTTATAAGCGTTATTATTCTCCACTGTGTTCGGTATTAGCGCTCGTATACTTTGGACATGGCAAAAAAAAAGAAATCCTAGAAGTACCAGTGTCCCTATTTCCAGTTGATTTTTAGTTCAAGCCCTTTGGTATATCTGGGGCACGATCAGATTTCAGGTTAATAGTGGTAATTATTCATAATACACCCAAGCTAGGCGGAGGTGGTGTTGTGGCAAGTGGCGCACTATCCCACACGCACGGTCAGGGGTTCGAATCCCGGAATCCGCCTAAGCCAAACATGCCTTCCATACCGCCGGGGTCGGTGAATTGGTACGAGACACGTCTGGGAGGATAAAAGCACTGACTCTTACATCTACTGGCCACCGCAAGTCATTGTATAGGCCATATACGCACTCATTACGCCACTACGATTTTGAATGAAAGTCGAGTGCGGAGGCGTATCTCTCGGACTGGATTGGTTAACGCCAAAAAATTTAAAACCATAAACTTTAAACATCCAAGCTACACATATTGAAATTTTGCATGATTACATCAACCCAGAAAGGAGTTACGACTGAGCTACTGTACATAACTTGCCAAGTATTTGCACCGTGTGTCTGCCAGAATCCTTACTCCCTTTTTCTATTTGTCTGTTTGTCTCTAAATATATTATGTGGCGCCGTTTGGAAATCAACTGGAACAGCTCAGACAGGTTGGAACAAGTTGGGACGTGACTCAAGCTAGCTCGGCCCATAGGGGCGCGGCGTGCGCGAAAATTGTAGTTCACCGTAAATCTGTCTCCTGTTCTCCTCGGTCTAGAGTATTTAAATTTGGCAGATATGCAGCCGGCAAGATGCTCCACCCACCGGGGGCGGGGCTCCCGCAAAAATGGAATTGATTGAATTGAAACGCAAATTGATTAGAACCTTCAAAATTTGGTAGGGATGTAGGCTGCAAGGTGGGAGAGCTCTTGGTAGGTGACAGGTGCAGATTCCACCCACCGTGGGCGGGTTTGCGCTAAAATAGTAAGTTTGGACCTGCTTATCATGATTTTTGTGGAAAATTTCATCAAACAATAAACAGGCCAATATACAGGACTGATATGCTATCATATGCCTACTGCGACGGGTGCGGTTAAATGAACAAAGTGCAAATAAATTCCTATTTCAACTACACTGATGTACAGAAACTCCACAATGGTAAACGATAAACAAGAGATTAAATGATTTCGAGGGTCTTTCTTAATTTTTTGGGTTGTCTCGGTTAGTATATGGATAAACGAATGTATTAGGTTGAGTCATAAGTCCTCGGGCAAAATGATAGCGATGACTTCTAGAGATCATAACACGGGAAAGACGAGACGAAAATGGACGCGCATGGCATTGTTAGGTAGAGTATGAAAAGCTCTTCAAAATACATACTAACGAACACACCTAACTGTTTCCTTTCCTGCAACCATGCCCCATGATTTCAAGCCGTCGCAACTCCACCTCCGCAACACCATACTATTTCTTTTTTTATTTGGTCAAGAACTCGCGGAGATCGATAAAAGTATTAAGGAAGTTTACAAGAAGTGTGCTCCTGCTAGATGCAAAATTCATAAGTGGCACACGAAGTTCACGTCGGACGACTATTCCATCGAAGATGAAGACCGTCCGAGACGCTCACTATTTGGATTTCGACTTGCTGCGGAGCTGGTTGAAAGCCGTTCCGCATCAAACTACTCGTGAACTGACAGTCACCCTTGGAGAGTCAGTCCACAAGTATTCGTGGATTGAAGTCAATCGGTAAGGTGCGAAAGCTTGGTCGATGGGTGCCTCATGCTTCGAAGCAGTATGACATGGATTTTTGCACCGACATGGCACTTTCTCCCCTCACGCTCAAGCGCAGGAGATGGTCAGGTGTACTCGTTAGTATGTATTTGGAAGAGCTTTTGATACTCTATCTAATGATGCTTCGCGCGTAATTTCCGTTACCTCCTTCCCGAGTTATGAACTCAGGAAGTTATCGCTATCACTTTGGCCGAGGACTTATGACTCAAGCTAATAAATGGTTGCCAAATGCAGTTTGCTAGAATTGTGCCTTCTCGATAAACGGCTTATGTCGCTATTAGTTGAGACGGGACAACGGCACTGTCCATTTTTTGGAAGAGGGCGGTTACTGTGTTGCTAATAGGATTACGCTCCAGGTTATCTTCGAGAAAATTCATTCTTCTAGGGCCAAATTTTATGTTGAAATCACTGACGATGACCTCGAAGACAATGCGGTCTTCTCTGTAGAGCCTCTTCAAATCCACATCTTCTCTTCTTCTTAGCTCCATGTAGGTGCGTAGACATCGAAGAATGTTAGAGCTGGGGTTGAGCCTCTCGTCTCGATCCGTCTGATGACTTCGTACTTGAACATCCTAGCATTCATCATCAGATCTTCTGTACATTCTTCCGATGCAAGTGTCCGTGCGTTGAAAGTTCGACGAGAACAGATTGCCATCTTAGTCCTTCTCATTTTGGTCAGCCTGTTTCGGCTCTGAGATTTAAGCAGCCTCTCCCGAGGACCGATCCAACGCTGCCTATTGAAGGTTCCCTCAGGTCAAAGGGATTGGGACTCATTTATATTACTGGCATTATTAGCATATGGGTACCCAACGTGTAGCTTGCCAGCTCTAACGAGGGGCTGGCTATGGATGCCAACCAGGCTATACCGAAGTGGAGGATGGGTTCTTTGTTTTTGGAGGGAGGGATTCTATCTCTTGAATGGACCTGTGTCTCCGTCTGTTGATCTTGCAAGTGAAAAAAAAAAGTTCCGAACCCCACATGACTTGTTCAGGTGCTTCTTCAGGTTATATCGAATTGCGTGGTAGAAAGATAGAAAAACAGACGGACGCGAGAGTGATTATATAGATGATGATTGTCAGAAAAAGTTGTCCAGCACCATTTTGCCATCATGATTAAAAATTATTCGGTAAAATTCCCACGCGACTGGTCATCGAATAGGACTACCGCAACTGTTATCACAATGAAGAAAAGAGCTGATTTATCATCAAAACGCAGAGTCCACTACAAGACGTTATCAGTTCGTACCACCAAAAACCACACAAGCAACTACATATAACTACATTTGTGCACCTGATAGTCGTCAAAAAAAGGAAGAAATACACATAGCTCTTGTTAGGGATTGGATGTCGAGCAGCTAGCAGTCACTGATGAGTACTGCACTACAACGGAACTTGCTTAAAGGCGTAGTTCACGAAAAAAATGGTTCCTGAAATATCTCCATAAGATTAATTCGGGGCTCCTCCTGATACTATATTGCCGATGTCAGTTCGAGAAACAACCTGGATAGGGCATAATAAGGGGCCAGAGCTTGTACCGTGGGAATTTCACGCCCACAGCGGACGAGTCTCAACGGTGTTGTAGAGGCAGCACTACCTTAAGAAGTTCAAACAACTTGCCATGACCCATAACGGCAGTGGAAGGCAGTTTTAGACAATTTTGGCTTGATGTAGTCTTCTCGTTGCGCAACTGCAACAACTGAAATCTCGACCAAATAACCCTTCCATGCCATTTCCACCATGGTAATCTCGTACAACCTCTAATTCCACAACTTTTAGAAAGCCTTATTTTTTGTGAAGTAGGCCGATTCTCTCGCTTTCTTTGCCTCCGATGCACTACTCTACATCAACACTTCCTCTCCTCAACTTGAAATGGGTACCCTCAAAATTATCGCGAACTTTGCCTTCAGGAAGGTAACAACTTGATCGAGATCGAGAAGCAGTCTGCAGCGACGCGACACCATAAGAATGAATCAAGTATACATAGCTGATGCTATTGCTGATGCGATTATCGGCTTTGAGTTTTACATGTTTGTGAACTTTTGCAGAAATCCAGACATACTCGCAAATATACGATGTGCTTGTACTGGGTGTACACAATATTTTGAGATCCGGAGTTTTTCTCCAGTCGGAATCAGTATATGAATACGATACGCAACAGACAGCTACAAAACTGTACAGTCAAACAAGCTGAATGTGAGAAAGGAAAAATGGTAAATTACCTTACAGAACTTCTTGAACGCGTCCGATATTCGTGCGTAGTATCCAATTTCTCGGGCGTCACCGAAACTAGGGTCGTTCTTACATCTTACGATATAATGTAATTGAGGTGTAGTTAGGAGACCTAGAACTTGGATGACATTGTGCCTACGATCACTTCAGAAGTAATAATTGCTGGCATAATCATCTAAATTTATGATATTACTAACCGTGGCCTTCATAAGCTACACCCATCAGGGCTGCACCAGCTTTTACCGCTTCTGTAAGATAGGGACTACTCTCGCGGGAATCCATTCCACAAACCACGAGAGCATTTGGCGTTGAAGCTTTGGGCGCGATCTAAAAGATTTCTCCACTTCGGAAAAGTGAAAACAACGTCTCATCCACTCGGAGATAATCCCAAACTCACCTGAACTTCCAGAGCTCGGACAGCCGTTGGTAACTGCTCGTCACTGGCATTTGCAAGCTCTGATCCGTACTTCTGAAAATGTTTCGAAGATTTTCTCAAGCAATATAGTATTCAACATACGCATGAGTCACACGTCCTGTTTTTGGCAGGCCAATAGACTGAACAATACACGTGCAATCGTTTACTACGACGTGTAAAGTGAGAGACAATAATATACAAATCTGCAAGCTTATATATACATGGATGGGGAAGGCGAACAGACACCGAGAGAAGAAGGCGCCTCGCCCCAACAACAATGCTCAGGTTAACCACTTGATAGCACACTCATGATACCGATAAGTCATGCCTTCGGCCTCGTCTCAAGAGGTACATATAATAAGCATTACCTATGGAGATTAACTAGACTAGTTGTGAGCCCACAACACTAGGGTGGGGCGAAACTAGCGGTAGCTATAATTTGCACAACAACAGCAATGCTTACTTAAAATTTATTGTGCAATGCACCTACAATATTAGACAAACGAAAATCAACATGGCCATGTGATAACAACGTTCGACATTACAATACAATTTTCATTATTTATGTATACAGTGCCATTTTTTGCAAATGCCTTTCGTTTTGTAAACTTCTTTGACGCGGTTAAGGTCCATGTGTGCCTTGGATCGGCAGTCAGCAACCTGGTGCCCAACCACGGAGCAGACCTCGCAGTGCTACAGTTTAGCTCCGAGGTTCGTCTGGATAAGGCACTTCCATTACACGTTGAGTCCACAGTTCCAATGTGTGCCTTCTCTCGTCATTCTTCAAAGGCGGTCCTCCATTCGATCTTGCTTCCGTTTGATGTGGTTGACGGCATCTAATATAGCATAGAAAATGTCCCGAGCGTTTTCGTTCGATAAGACGCCCTTCTCATCGCATGAAATAAGAGGGATCGCAATGTAGTTTCTGGTTGTTCGATAGGCCTCCTCTTTTTTTTGGGTGTTGCCGTGGAAAACACTTTGGAGGTCCGCTTCAGACGCGGTTCAGCAGTAGGAGCAGGGATTGGACTAGGATCTTGGATATCAGCCAGTAGCGCCTCTGCTCCGAAGATATCCAAGTCCGAGAGATCTTCCTGCTTTTCGTTGGAGGAGCGTGGAGCTGCTGATGACAAGGGCATTGGGTGAATGTTGTTGTTGGCTGTGAGCGGGTGACTATATGTATATAGGTGGATAGATGGCTTGAGGATGTACGGTGTCATACTTATGCCGTACTGAGGTATGGTCCTGGATAACGCTAATAGTTCAAGAACCAGATTGAGGTTTGATATCATATGGTATGTATATGAGTATGCGAGGTGGTGTAATTAGCACAACGCTCACGCTATGAGTTTCGGAACAGTAAGGACGATTGCGGCGATGAATATTGCATTCGCGTTCATGGCCAGAATTACTGTTTTCCAGTGTGCTCTTAGTCGATTGTTACGTTGTTTATGTGCTCTAAGTCGGGAAGCTGAAAATGTAGACGTAGTTCGCATGCTCAGTTTTGTTTTGGCGAGTTGAAGTTTCCCAATGTGTTGAATGCTAGTATTTTTGAGACGACAATCTTGTGAGATTTACGTCCACATCGCAGATATCTTTGCATCTTGGTTTTGTTGCTTGATGGTCGCAGTAGTTTGGGCTGTGGACGAGTTGCAGACGGCGGCAAATAAGTTCCTTTGGCATTTCACTTCTATCATGATCGGTTGATTCGAGTAGCATGAAAAAACAACATCAGCTCCTCGTAGGCAATCGTAACATCCTTCTAGTGGCGATGACGTCATTTTCGGTTTTCGTCATCGATAATAGAGTCTGCTCGATATGCGGCAGAGGCGCTCATGGTGAGACCGATAACAGCACTATGATCAGCTTCATAAATTCTTCAATCGCCGTCCTGAAGGTGAAGGACTGAGGAAGATAATGGATGGCGGCTGTCAATAGAGGCCATTTTACTGCGTATATCAGTACTGCTGCAATCACATCTTGCGTCCTTTTCTGATGGAGAGCAAGAGCATCTGCCTTCTGCATAACAGTATGATGTATTCGAAGCACTTTTTGTTGTGGGGCAGCGTAAACCAAAAAAGCCCTCGCTATTATCTAGAGCAACTTCGGACTGGTTGAAGTTGACGGTCTTTGCAAACGTCGTTCCTAATAAAGGAATTGCTGGAGTGGTCGCGAATTGCAACGTTATGTTGGCATCCTTCATGACATAAGTTGACTGCGTGCCGCTTGTGATTATATCGAACACATCCGCTCCATGGGGGTTATATGCTTGAATGATATCAAGGCTGACTCTTGCCATGTTGGGCAGTGGTACACCTGATAGATCTTTTCGTTCTTCGGTCTGGCATAGGAGCGAGAGAATAGGCATAGTTTGGTAGACCAATGGAGTTCACTCTACACGTGCAATCGTTTACTACGACATGTGGAGTGACCGACAGTAATATACGAATCTGCAAGTATATACACATAGATGTGGGCGGTGCCCAGATACCGCATCGTTGATTTACATTATGAGTACGATTAAGAATATGGGATAAAAGAGCGCACCGCGAGAACAGCAACGCTTAGGTTACCTACTTGATAGCACGCTTATGATACCGCTAGGTCAAGCCTTTGGCATCGTCTCAAGAGGTACATATAATAAGCATTGCCTAAGGAGATTAACTAGACTAGTTGTGAGCCCACAACACTGTTCTTGCAAACAAAGCGATAAAGCTGACTCTGATATGATGCGTGCAATTGTGGGGCGGAGTTTGAATAGCGCATACCCCCCCCCCGCAGGACCTATTATAGCCCCACTTACAGCTACCGCGATTGTAACTTGTTTGCGGTTTTCACACGAGCTAGTATCTTTTCGCAGCTTACCTCCCATTCTGAGGCAAGCATTTCCCCTTTAGGATCCACAATCTTAACACCATTATCTTTCGCTGGATTATGACTGGCCGTAATCATGACACCAACTGCTTGGTTGAGATCCCTGAAAAGACTGTCCCGAATATAGCAGTTATCATCAACAATTGTTCTTACCTTGCTCGAAGGCCAGCTAAATAACCCATACGGAAGACTACAAATGGCAATAAATCAGATCTGCAGCGGAATCCGGCAGTTCCTAAATGATCTGTGGTAAAAAGTCGTAAAGTAAACAGTAGCTTCAAAAACCATAACCATAAGTTAGGCGTAAGTCATCTGGTATAGGACACAGTTTCCCAGTGTGATCTCGATTCCGGCATCGGGAGAAGTCTTCTGGCACTTCTACTGGCAGTATATCAGCCATACCTGAAAATCATGCACCTAGTGCTCGAGAACGATGCTACATGATTAAGCCGAAAACTTTCCAAATCGAGCGTTACAGAAAATCTAGCACAAAGGGCATTATTTGAATTGACTGGTCAGAAAAGGGTTTGATTAACTGCATCGAAACGCTCTCACAAGAGCTACGAGCCTTTTCAGTGCAATCCTTTAGTATTCAGCAACACAAAGCTATAAATTTTAAGAATCCTTATTTTAGATNAACTCAGCATGCTTGATCATCTGTGAACCTTGCTCATAAAAGTCAAGCTTTCGGGAGAGTCGGAGAATTGGAGGTACATTGAGTAGTTCGCTTTTTAGACCAAATGCTGATATTGCGATTTCAAGAACTGAGCTTTCAATCAGCCTGATCTCGCGCTAATTGGCCCATGTAGCTGCTCTTCTATTCGAAGACGAGAGCGGCTTTCAAGAACTGGTGAGCCGCCTAGTCCCGCGTCTGTTGCTATCGATTCCATAGGAGAAGTTGAGTATTGCGTTGGAATTTTTCGTTCAAAAGCCTTCCGAGTATTCTTCTTATCTGTATTTACCACTAAATTCTTAAGGAAGGCGCCGTCGATACTTTTCAATGCTCTGACCACCACGATGTCTTGGCTGACTCGATGATGGGTTTTAGCTAGCCTTATGACGAACTCCTCCTTTTCTCGAGCGTGGAGCTTCTCCTACAGGTCATCCAATACCACGTGTGTAACTTCTGCAGACAGCTATATCCCCTGAGATCGCGTCTTTGCCAGCGTTTAAATGTCGTCATTTTTCTGCTTTACAACTCGCTTGTTTTCACCGTTACGGAATCATGCTGTCTTGTTTCCGCTGAGTTCAGCTCGAGTGTCGCTTCTTTTATGCGATGGCTTTAAGATGGTAAAGTATAAAGAAAGCATGAAGACTTCGGTGTTGATCGATTCTCTCTTGGGATGAGCCCCGCATTACACTCACGTCCAATCAAAATCGTAGTGGCGTAATGAGAGTGTATTTTGCGTGTACAGTGAACTGCGGACAGCCTGTGTACAAGTCAGTGCTTCTATCTTCCCAGACGAGCCTGGTATCTACTAACTGGCCCCGAAAGTATAGGAGAGTACCGGGATCTGATACCCGTGCCATATTTGCGTGGTATAGCGCCACCTGCCACTATACCACCCTCACCTTCAAGCCTGATGAGAGATTTTGAACTGCAGTCCACGACGGTTCAGGCATCTACTATGCCGTATGATTGCTAGAAGATTGTCAATCGTTATTAGTATCTTAATGCTGAAGCACGTACTGCAGGTACCCATTGATAACCCATTTGGTAGTTTCTTCATTACGTGTCTTCCATACCAATCTATTTGCTCTACTGCAGATAAGAGCTAAGTAATGAATACCTACATAAACACGCCACAGAAATCATGTCATTACTGAAAGAATCCTTCACAACAGTATGAAATATTATGGGCAAACCTCTAAAATCACTTGTCTCGGAAACAGAGCTGTCAAATAGCCGCTACCCCGTCTTTTCAAGAAAAAAGCTGGAGTAAAGGCTTAGTACGAGTCGCAGAAAAAAACGCTGGTAGATGGTTAATACGAGTCGAGCTATCCGACTGTATTATATTGACGATAGAAAGGGGAGTAGGGTTCATGGGAACTCGGAGAGTAACAAGAAAGGGGAGAGTGATTTAGTCAAGTTAGGAGCTTCACAAGACAGAAAGAAACGGAGTTGAACAATTAGCTGGCACTCAACAGCTTCGTAGTGTTTTACCACCTTCAAAGCCACCACTTCTTGTGCAAGATTCTTAAAAATGAATCAGACGGCGAGAATGATGATCAACCTCTGAGTTCGCGTACTGCTCAGTGACAGCCGATCATGAAGAGGTCGCAAACGTGGCAGGAAGTGACTGTTGACAAAAAACAAAAACAGTGGCCAAAATGTTTTTCATGGTGTTATCCGTAACTTAAAACCTTGGTATTACTCTTCCTCCGTCCATTCCACCTAAACAAACTCAGAGCATGCCACTTTATCACATAAATCACGAAATGGTCCTGATTTTTGGAAAAGGTGGAAGCCTTCACTATAGCTGTCGCGGCGCATCGTAGAGCGGGACGTAATCCTGACATTCGGAAGATGTTCGAACTTTCATTCAAATGAAGTGCCAGCTCGTGGCTTAAAATGTTGAAAATATAATGAACCCGAATACTTGCATACTTACGAGTGCAAGGGTCTTTACCGTTGCTTGTATGTATCTTATTTCGTGAAATATCGAATCGAAAACGAAGCTTTCAAAATTGGAAAGGTAAAACCTTCCTCTCAAACTTAACAGAACTAAGAAACTTGGAGTGATGATGTTAAGAACTTCAAAATGGAGGTGAAATTGGGGCATTCATTTAGAATAGGATCACTACTTATCAAATAACAGCGTGATACACAAGAGCATTTATTTGTGGCAACGGGAACACGACTTTTGAAAAAAGTTCAGTTCAAAAATGGTTTGCATGGCCAGCCACAATACTTATTACAACAAAAAGCATTAGTGCCATAGATTCTGAAGAAGCGTTTTGCAAGAACAAAAGCATTGACAGAGTCCAGAACTGTTAATTAAGAACACCGATTTTGGAGAAGCCGAGCTCGCAATACTGAGACTAGGGGAAACAACTTGAATGGGCCCTATTTGAACACTAGCCCCCTTTAGGTTAACTGTCATTTGTTTGAAATCTGCTCGATTTCCATTCGGATGATCGTGGTTTCAAAATACCCTTCCCGAACTAGATGTAAAACAGGGAATAGAATTAAGATTCGAGTAGAAAGAATGAAACGAAAACGAACGGATCCCGAGCAACGAGTTTTGATTAGTCAAACACAAAGCAGAGCCACTTTTCCGAATATTAATACCAGTTAGGCGATACAAAAAAGCATTCGCACGCAACGAATGGAAAGAGTTGTTATGCCGACCGGCGGACATTGGGCAATTGATTGGCAAGTACAGTGATCAAGCTGTTTGTTGATACTTGACCGACACTCTGTTGGCTTCCGTTACCGGCCGTTCGAGTATTCGATTACTCGTCGCCGTAGAAGCGACTATTTTCTCGTTGACAAACAGACACAATCCTCTAATGACTCATCCTTCCAATATCCTATTGCACAGTTCAATTCGCTACGTGTGTCTGTTGGTGTGACGGTTTGTTTGTTTATTTGTGTGGGTATGTGTACGTTGTTTGTTTGTTTATTTGTTTGTGTGTTTGTGTACATGGTGGGGTGTGCGTATGCGTGTATGCGTTTATGTGTGCATCGTATGTGTTCCTCCTTTCTCTTTTCGTATGTTACTTCAATGTGTGATATAGGTCGGAATAAGTAGCAGTTAACGAGTAACGGGACATGATAAGAACTGATAAGGATGATAGGAAATCTTGTAAGGTTTCGTTTTCTACTCCCTGGTGTATGCGATGACTTTCTATATCATTGGATACATAGGATGGAATATTAGGGCAAGTTGACGAAAAGTCTGCTTATTGCAGTGATCAGGGCTGATTAAAATCGGTACCATATAAGGAGAGCAAAGTTTGTCTGTTCCTTGCTACCAGGTTACTACGACCAAGCACTTGGGACTCGATAGGGGATAACGTCTTCCCTTTACTTCAAACTTACTTACCACAAATCCTATTTGGCAAACTCAGTTAATGATTTATTTGCATAAAGATAAGAAGTACGGGGGACATGAAGATTTGGTAAGGGTGTTATGATCAACCGACAACACCAACAAGTTTCACTCGATGCTTCGGCTAACTAATCAGATTGCTCAGTTGCAGAAAAGTCGGTGCACCAATAGACCCAGTGAAAGAAAGAATGGAATTTTTAGCGGATGGTTGCTGCCAGGATCAAGGGCACTAGTTTAGATCTTGTGAACGATATACGTACACGTCCTGTGTCGAATTTGTAGAACTCGCTAGTCGGGGCAAGATTTCCCTTCAAAAATTTTGCGTCTGCACATGAATCATTCATCCGTTTTAGTTCTGTAGGGTCTACAGCGTTTTCGACTTTGTAACAAGAAAAAGTAGAGCTCAGCACAAGCCAGGCGATCCGACTGGTTAGTCATAAAAAAGGCAATTTGAGGTTGGCATTTTCCATAATAATAATGCATAGTGATGACATAAACATAATGGCCGAAAGTTTCCCTACACTAAGAGTGGAGCAGGGATCAGTGGTATGGTAAGTCTTAACTTCCGTCGCTTTTCAAGCATAGTAAATTTACTTGCATCAAAAATTTGCATCAGCTGAAAGAGCTTTTATTCAAGCATTGAACCATTCCACTACCATTTACTTATTTACCCATTATTGTTTTTTCCTGTTTATTGCACGCGCAGGAGTGCTATGACGATATCTCTACTGTTTTAGATCAAACCGCAGCCATCAGGTGAGCAACCCACTAAAACGGTAGGGTAAAGCTGAACAAGTTATGGATTGAGTTTTGAATTTCAATGCATACATAAGTACAATCAATCAGTCAGTGACGTAACGTAGGGTAACGTCACTTCTAGGTATTTCTATTTTTTTTCTTGCTCCTAACAATGCTGCCTCCGACGAACAAGAGGGGAATCCTCAGCTCAAAACGCGTCTATATAGTTTCCTGTATAATACACATGCGGGTTAGTAAAAGCTCGTGATTAAAAATTGTTTGTGACCAGCCTCCCTCAAGACGTTTTTACCGCATTTTCCATAGCAAAGTAGTAGCACGAATGAACGGTATTGTATGAGAGAAAAAACAAAAAAAAAAGAAAAGAGGGAAGGAGAATTAGTCACCATTTCTCACTGAACTAAATACGTTATAGACTAAGCCGAATATACATACAGAAGCAACTACGGTTCTGAAGAGAGGCCCAAGGGTATTTTTACAAGAGAAAACTATTGTTGAGTGCAAGGTTTTTTGTCCTAGCCCGAATCGAAAAAACATACCGAAGAATGAGAACGCATCCGTTCTGAATAGTTCTGGAAGGGATATTTTCTTGACAGCGCTACGACCTGTTCGTGGCATTTTGTTGGAGCCCTACGACGCCAACCCTCTGGAGGGTGAAAGTAGAGTGAGAATTTTGACATAGGCGTGGGAGTGCCACGATTATGATCTAGACGTGAACGAGTTGATGGGTTACTGTATTGTGGAAACTTCTTTTCAACGACCTTAGACCAGAGAGAAAGGAGATCACCCTATAAATTCTAATTCTTCTTCATAATTGTCACGCTCTGTTCACTTTGTGATCGCAAGGGCTCTAAGGAGTTATTTTGAAAATGGTCAAACAGGGCGCCGACGAACGTCTTATTGTTAGCGAGAGCCCTCCTTCCATAGCTCTACGTTGATGCAAAAAAGTCGCTTACCCGTGGAACAGCTTATTCGTCCAGGATCTCTTCACAACGCCAAAAATCCTTGTTTGCAAGGTATATACCTCGCTCGTATGCTAACAACCGCTATGCATTGTGTGAAGCTCTTCCGTCTAGAGACGTCGGCACAGAGAGACGAGTAAAGGGGATATATGTGTGCAAAGATTTAATTTCGCGATTGCAAAAAAAGGAGGGGCAACCTCTTCAAACAAGGAATGAGCGTTCCTTTGAAAAATTAGAAGAAAAAAAGTTCGGATGCCTGTCCCAATGCTCCTTATTAAATGGTGGGCACCCAGACGTCCCTTACGACGTGAGCACACTAATTTATGACATTCGGCTCCGAGGTTAGCCGTCAATTGATACTTCGCAGGCCGATGGTCATGCTGCAGGCTGCAAACGTACCTTACAGACTTCGCGATTCAAAAAGAATTTGAATTATAGCAATTCGGAAGAGGATTACAGCTCGGAAGCCTCGTTGTGATGATAACACTACCGGAAAAAAGTACAATTTTTGGGAGAATCTTGAGCACATTTCGTTTCCACATCTTATGTTTATCCCCTATGCTTCCTTGAACAGTGAACATAAGAGTTAGACAGGCGTAATTTGAAATTTGACTTGCTTATCTAGATCAAGAAAGGCTCTGTAAAGATGTGAAAACCTCATTCAAATCCATTTGAAGTGGAGAAAATCAGTCTCGCCAGCGAATGCAAATTACTTGAACGATATAGTTGAAGTAGACACAGTAGACTTCACTACTGATCGATTTCAAGAACTTGGGAGAAACAAAACCGAACACCTTTTCAATTCATTTTCGAAACTATAAAATTATTGTAACAAAAAAACCGCCATTGGGAATAGAATATGGGAAACTGTGCGAAATTACAACAAAGGTGCAAATGCAATGTAAAGAATAGAGAGAAAGAGCGAAATCCTAGAGTGGCGAAAATGGTGAAATGCGTAGGCGAGTATTTAGGGCGACACTTGAAGCATGATTCTCATGTTAGGAACAATAGAACGTCATATCAAAGCTACTTTTAATTTCGCCGATGAATATCAGAAATCGCGAAGCCACCAAAGATTCACAATTTGCAGTTCTGTGACCACCTAAACTTTAACCGCATAGGATTATTCGGAAATTTAAACCGGAAAGTTGGTGTGATGGTAACCAAACTGACAAAGCAAAGTAGAGTAAAGAAGGTAGTGCATCAATGACCCCCAATATGAATTTTATCAGGGGGGGGGGGGGGGGGGGGAAGGGAGGGGTTTGGGGAAGGAGGAGTGTTGCAGAGTAACAGAGTTTGGGTATCGACTAGACAACAGTGACACCATTCTAAAATGGCAACTGATTAATTTGATCATGTTCAATGAAGCAACAAACTGAATGTGAACAATGACAATGACAATGCAATGAATCTATGAAATTTAAGAGAATAAAAAAACAGCAACGCATGCACGTATGTATACGAACATCAACAAGCAGATACGATCGTAAAATATCAAAGAAAACAAATAGAATACAAAGCTAAAATAGACATCGATGTTATCGATTTTCTCAACAAAATACAGTATGACTCGCAGAAACGTGCCTAATTAGAACTGAATACGTGCTGAAATACATTACAGCACATGGTATCACTTTTATGAGGATGACGAAACACGAGTACAGGATGAAGAAAACCTGAAAATACCAATTTTGTGGAATCAGAACAAAGCAAAAGTCTTATCAAGAAAACTGATCTGTTCATATTGAGGTGAGATATCACGCGCATGTCTATTAGATAGTGTTGATGGGAGCTTCCAAAATATAGGAAAATTATCATATTAATATTAGTCAACTCTTCTGCGCCATACAGGTTTTTAATGGTGGAACCTTTACTCGCCTGCCGTTTCGACTAACTTGTCTTTATCGAAGGCCTGAAAGCGTATCGCAACTTTAGAGTGTTACCTATCACGCTTGACGTAGACCAGCTCTTAACTAGTTGCAACNCTCTTAACTAGTGGCAACTCAGGCTGATGAACTTACAACTAATAAGAAACTCCGACAAGCCACTCACGTTAATTCCACCAATACCGAAGATATCATATTAATGTACTGATGCAATGCATAAATGAATGTGGCACAATAGGATTCAGTCATCACTTCACAAGAAGGACACAGCGAGAAAGCTATGGAAAAAAGTAGCTATCCCATCGAGGGGGGTAGTCGCTAAGATAGTCTCGCTTATTCTTCCGTTATAGCACTCACTGAACGCTTACAAGCGAAAAAGGATTTTCCAACGGTGTCCGCTTGTGCCTGGTAAAGCCACGCTACTATTTTGAAGGCAGAGTTTACAATAAAAATGGTTTCTGAGTTCTCCCTCTATGAATACCCGGTGGCCCCCAAGTTTAACAGGAAGGACGCTGTCGGGTCCAAAAACTTTACAGCTAGGACATAGTGGGCGCCCCGTTTCCGGATCGCCCGGATGCCTCGCCTCTCGAACGATGCCACGTCAGGCGAGTGCCGATGCGGTACAGATAGCAATGCTCGCTTTAGTACACCCACACAATCAGCTGATTGCCGAGTAATTTAGCGATATTTTTCTCCTATTCTTTTACTCTCTGTTATTGTTTTTGCTGCTGCGAACCTTTCAATTTTCTACCCCCAAGAGGCTAAAAAAGGTGGGGTTATGCTTATGAGCGAATGTGTTTCAAGATACATTTCTGCTTATTGTAGTCAGTTATTTTCACCTGGACCCACAAGTACGCAACGACACATATTATATAACTCGTCCAAACACCCCTTCTTCGTCATTTTTCTGGTCTTCTTCTCGCCCAGTCCCTTTTTTAACGGTTGAAGCCACTTGTCACTTCGAAAAACGCCATATCACGCACTTTCTCCACCTTCACCAGACTATTTCCCATATTATCTTCCAACTTTCGTCATAGTCTGGATTACCCGGAATTATCTTTAACTGTGCTTCAAATATATATTCTATCAGATGCATAGTTACTGTGAATTTTTCCGGCCTTCCGCCCGCCTACTCGATTGAATTGGAAATTTGAGTTGGGGATTTCCGTAGGAGTCATATTCCTGCTTTCCTCTAGCAAATGTGCGTTCAGAAATTCATCTCTAGATTCGCCACATAATGCTCTATCACTTCGAGAAGGGTTGGAATGTGGCAGAGCTCGATCTTGATGATCGAGAAGGGTTGGAATGTGGCAGAGCTCGATCTTAATGAACTTTTCGGAGATGGCACAGTCAGCCCAAGCCAAAATGAAAGATGGTTGAAGAGGTTCAGAATGGGCAAAACAAATCTTGAGGACGAGGAAGGAACAGGACGGCCGGATTTCGGCGACCGTGCCCTTCTAGCATCGGTGGAACAAGAAAAGAACAACGCGAATAATAGCTGATGACCTCAATGTCGATCTGTCGACGGTCATCCGACGTGTGAAAAATCTCCGAAATGTGTGCAAGATGGTATCATGGATCCTCCACGAACTCTCCGACAGCAACCAACAAACCTTATCAACCGAACCATTCCACCGAAAATATGAGAATAAGGAAAAGACGACACCATCTCAACGATCAACGAGTTCCTGCTGTATGTAGTTGTCGGACTAGAGCATATTCGTTCAATAATACACGCGCTCGAATTTTTAGGTGATGAAGAAATTTTAGGCCGATTCTCTGCAATTTCCAATCTACTAAGTGATTGTAGATAACTCTCAAAAATTTTCCATCATAGTGTAAGGAGCTAGGTTGCCTCCCCGTACTTGAGTCACGACGTCAGTTCCTCAGGAGACATCGTTTTCCATGAATGGCGTTAAGGTGTTGAAGTAACGGAAATCATTCGCAACATCAACAGCGCATCGGAAGAGGGTACCCCTCTTAGCCCGTCAACGGCTGGTTGGTTCGCTTCAAGCAGAAAGCACGAATAATACGAGCCTCGGTTAGAGATCAAAGACGCTGAGAGACCCCGCCATTCTCCACGCCATTGGACGGGAATGAAAAAAGTTAGCACTCGCAGTTCTGTAATATATATTTTATGAAAAAAGCAAAACGAGTTTATGCATCAAGAATGCGATCCAAGATCGTTGCGCCTGTCCCCCAACCTACCAGCTGCTCCATCACTGCAAAGCGGACACGATGACGTGCTGACGCGCTCGGCTAAATCGCATATAACACGAACAAAAGGTTTACGTGACTTCGTTCCCATAATCATTTCGCAAATCGGAATGTAGATTTCAGATCGCCATCGGAACACAAACATTAATATTCACATCAGATCCTGAATGGTCACGGCAAGCTAGCATCATTCCCTTCTGATGACAATATGGAGAGCCTTGCATGAGCATGACTATTCACCAGGTTCATTTGGTTCGGAATAAGGAATGGTCACTCAATGCCTTACATCGATAGTGGATAGAAAAGTGAAATTCGAATGTGGTTTATTGATCTGAACACAAAAAGGAATGAACTCACTGCTAACCTCTAGAAAGATAAATTAGAAGGAATCAGATGTATAAATTAGATCTCAGCGCACTCTCCAAACACTAACGCTAGAGTACTAAACAGAAATAAAATAAAAACTGACTTAAAACTCCACCGGTGTAGAACTCGAGATTCCAGGCGGACCGCTGCGATGGACATGTACACAGACCCACCGACCGGCCTTCTTTTGCCAGACTCGGGACTCTTGGGTTTGACGCGTACGTGCTTCACCATTCCTGAAAATGTAGGTTCCTTGAATATGCCTACATTACATGTACCAGATTGCCCGACTTACGCCAAGCTCCCCTCTTTGATATCAAAAAGTCGGAATACAAGATCCAGTCTTCTTTACGTAACGAATGATGCTTTTCTGACCGCAAAATTTTCGGAGGATTCATACAACATTTAGCACAGAACACATACTCTCATCGCGTACGCTCACGAAATCTCCATCTGTTACCTTTGATATCAACAGTAGCCATCCATTCAATAGTTAAATCTTCCCTCTATGGTGCCTACTTGCACACCAACTTTTTTCTAATTGAACAACCTGGTTAGTCAACCAAAGCCTGGAATGATGGTCACTAACGTTGTCGAATTATGCTAGCAACACTATCACAAACTCGTGTCCACATGTATCTCTCTCATTTATAAAGCAGGAACTTGGTGTGTCGGTTTGTAAGTTTGTCGGTGTGTCGGTCTGTTCGTCCGCAAAACTTATGATTACGATAAAGGTAGTGATATGGAAAACCTTGCTCTGTTCTACACTTCCTTCTTATATACATAAGGCAGTAACTTGGTGGGTAGGCTGATGGACTGATGGAGTAGAGTGAGTGGTGCGGAGGTAAGTGAAATGTGGAGTGAAGTGGGTACTTCAAAACTGTGATTTCGATCTGTACCGGCATCGTGCTATGTATGTACAATAATTGGAGGTGATAATGTAGTTGGGAGACCCCCGCGTTTTTTCAACATAATTTCAACATAAGGTTAGCCATAATTATCATTAACGTTTCTTGACCGTGAATAAAGAGTTTTTTGACCTTAGTTTCAATAGGGAAGGGGTACCGAGGTTCGTGAGTCAATTGGATATTTTTTGGCAATTAATCAGCACGTCTCGCACCTGAGAGCGAAAGCAAATCTGTTAAAGCCACTGTTAGTCGAGATTGACCTCGACTTAGAAATTATGTTGTAGGGACGGACCTACGACACGAATGAAACTTCAAGTTGCGAGTTCGGTTTTAACAGCGACCTCATACAGCGGCTTCATAATGAAATAAAATTCACTGGATGCAGAACTTCACACATAACGTATTTCAAATTACGACACAACCTTAGTTTGATGCACTTATCATAATCCCGTCACATAACGACGCACCACAAAACACCGAGGGCAAGATTAAGGATGGACGAATGTATACGCCCGCCATCGTTGCTTCTAAACCACAAATTCGAGCCAACCAAGAAGCCGAACTACTGCTAGAACCGAGAATCTGTGACGAGTTCTCATAGCAGATGGCGATTAAAGCACATGCGTTCTAATAGCAAAGTGGAGTCGAAAGGCTCGACAGATGATACACAATCACACCCAAATGAAAGTGCGGTCTTCCTTTCGGTCCAACATTCTCTTTCTCCGTAAATGTGATCCTTGTAATCTAATCTAGTTCATTCGCTTTGTATCATATATCGTAACGGTTGTCTGCATTTTTGTTCCGCTTTAGCATCTACCTCTCATGGGCTCAGCGAGTCGGCTATAATTCACCGTAGCCCATCTTCTGGGCTCTGAGAGAGGTTGGCGTACTTACTAAGCTGGTGTCCAGAGCTGCGATTCCTTCTAGTTATTTGTAGTGTCTGGCCGAAGCACTGTCTTTCCTCTAACGAGTGACCCGTTGACACCCCCCCCCCCCCCCCCCCCCCTCCCTCCTTTCATGCTTTCATTGTCACTTGTAACAATGTATTATTTATTTCCTGATTATGATGTGTATAGATAAATAAATGGAATGAAAATCGCTGAAGACAGCTAAAAAATAAACATAACCAACCTGTCCATGAATTGTGTCAGCCGTACATACGCTATACATGCACCTTCCTCACCCATCACATGCACATTCGGATTTAGCATTGTAGTATGTAATTGACCTTTCCGTGGATTGTTGTTCCCTGAAAATTAATTGTTTTATCGGGCTCATGGCTTTGCCGATTCATCTTTCGAAGTCATGAACCACCCCGAAAATCGACTAAGACGTAGTTTTAGCAGCACAATCTTCCGAAACCCCATGCGAAAGCCTTCCAAATGATGAATGAACCACGCAGGGCGAACGAAAGGATAGTTGACGTCATTTGAGCTTCGCTCATCCCAACCCTTTTCAGCTAAATACCCAATGACTTACAACTAACCAGATTTCGGAAATGCTTATAAATAAAAAGCAAAGACCATATATGAATGATCGCACCATAATCGAAATAGAACCGGTGAAACTCGACGCCTTCTATTAGATTTCCTAGTGCCTCTGGCTCGAAACACGTCATTGCTGGATCGCATAGCTTCCTGAAACAGAGGAGCTTGCCATGCCCAGCCATTCTCTCCAAAAATAACCAACGATCGATTATGGTTAAGGCAGAATATGTGTTTGAAGCAGCCTTTGTTACACATTAGGTACCAGAATTGCGGCATGAAAGTACCAATCACAAGGGATAGCAACTATTGCGAACCGTTAACATTGTAAAAACAAAAAGTGGGATCAATTATTGAGAATTTTAGGAAATCCTGCTACACAACATCTGAAAGAATAGTCGTACGGCGATTTTCAAAATTTCTCACGTGTATATATCGAAATCCTTGCATGAGATAGCATCGAGCAGCTGTTGCGTCACCCGTACAATTTCCTGCTTTTGAGCTGAAATTCCAAATAGAGTAAATCACCAATGAGACTATATGGAGCACTCAGAAGTTTGTAACTAAAACTAGGATGCACACACCATGCGTTATAGAGTGAAGGATCGGGCCCTCTCGTGAATAACCAACACATACGAAAGCTATTCTCGCCAGTATTTCTATCTATCGCCTCCCAATATGAAAACATTAAGCCAGTGTTTATTAAGTGACATTGGCCGTGATCGATTTTTCATTTGATCGAGGGAAATAATTGCAGCACCCAAGCTTCGTGTTTATCAACAACGAAAATATTCGACTAACACCTGCCTATCTCACTGCTCTGGTTGTTAATCAACACATCGATTAGTTCCCAAGAGCGAACAGTGATCGGCCGAAAATCTTAACTTGGTATGGTGTGGCCAGGAAGTGACTGTAAGTTGCTGGGTGTAATGTCTCAGTTCTAAAATGTTATAGTGGTGAGCTAACTGCCTTCACGTGCAGATGGTAGCCGCAAAGAGAGAGAGATTTTGCCAGCGACTACTCTACTCATCTACTTTTAGAACTGTGGTCGATGCATTTTTTGGCTATTACGCTGATGCACAGCTGATCAATGGCAAAATCCAAACAGGACTGGCCCAGTCTTGTTTGGATTTTGACATTGATCATCAGGCATTGCTCTCACAAAACAGGATAGAAGAAGAAACGAACATCATAGATGTGGTTAGGTTGTCACACCAGTACTTGCACTTAGTAATTATGCTCGGAGAGAGGTCTTGTAGTAGAAGCTAAATGAAAGCTGTGACAAGTTGTTGATGTGTTTCCCCAAATGCTAGTTCGAAAATATCGAAAAAGGAAGACATGTATATTCAAGAGTAGATTCAGAAACAGAAACATGCTGTCAAATAACTATGGAAGTTGAATAAAACCAAACCAAACACTGCCTACTTTGGCTAGAGCAACATATATCAAAAACTGAACCTATACTCATCGTTGTCCCGAAGCTGTCGCCCACATCTCATGGAAAGTGCAAAGTGACGACGATTAACGGGAGTAGGATACCGATGAATGATGCAGAACACTGCTAGGAGTTATAGGAGAAGGAATGACCTGGCGCTCACAGGAGTAGTGATGGAGACGGAATGTGCCGCGAACACAAAAAAGTAGCAGGGTCAGGTGTCGCGTTGAGCGACTTACCAACCGGGGGGCGTGAGATTCGTCTTTCCTCCGTAAAAACATCCCTTTTCTCTAATAGCATTTTCTGTGCTTGCTTGATCACCCTACACCACGGCGATTCTGCAGGCTTTGATGATTCCATTCTATCAAACTTTTATTCGACAACATCTGCCGACTTTACACTGCACTTCACTACAGCCAGCAACACCGCAGGGCCGAAATTTCCTAGGAGGGCTAGCTCTTTACTCACTAACAGAACTAACCGAGTCCGTAACTCGTGGTTTTCATTCGCGAATTGCAAAATGTGTCTTGTGTTGATAAGTAGGTGCCGTTGTTGTTCCATCTCGCTAGAACCGAGTCAGTCCGCTTGCGGCGCCTGCTTGACGTTTGATGTAGTGCCGAGGCGAGGGTTCAAAGCTGAAGCGTGGTGATATGGTTGCTGATGAATGTGGTACTGATAAATCGGCCAAAGGCGACCACTCCGATAGAACCCTGATAAAACAGGCATGTAAAAAGAAGTAAGGCGGAGGTAATATAGCGGCAAGTGACGTTCTATCCCACACGGATGCTTCGAGAATCGAATTCCGGATTGCAGCTTGTTAAGACCAACCGGCCTTCCATCCATCCGGGGTCGATTAACTGACACCGGACTTCAGTGGAAGGATAAAAGCGCTGGGTCGTTCAATGGTTAGCCATCAAACTCATTGCATAGGACATATACGCATTCAAAACGTCACCACGTTTTCGAATAAAATAGGGGCGTCCCACGAACGGGATTGGTTACCGCCAAAGATTTAATTCTTTGTTTCATCCGTTGAAAGAAACGGAAAGCCTTTTCGATGCTATTGAAGGCAAATGTCAGTCTCTGTAAGTGCTACTAATACATAATCTGCGCGATATACTACACTGACCGTCAGCTATTCAGACCCATTTCCGAACATTTGGGGTTGAAAATTGTTGTAGTGAACTGATGAGAAAAAGCAGTAAGATCGCTGCCCTTGACCGACCAAGTTGCTCGTCTCTCCGAGTTGATGGCCAGTCGTCCCGACAGAGAGCCGGTTGTATACATAGAGGACGACCTGCTTCACTCGGTCTTCCACACCACTAGGAGCTTGCCTTCTTCAGGTTCAAATTCCCTGAGACCAATTCTCGAGTCAGCCACAGAGCCACACATCAAATAAGTTTCGTTTGAACCGACTTCGCCTTCACAGAGCATTTCCTTGTTTGCCATTCAAAACAGCTAACATAACTGTGCATGAGGCTCGAACGATATACTATTTTGAACAGTCTCGCGCAGCTTTGCTACTTCTACTGCTCTGCGTCCACAGATTACTCTAACAACCTCTCTACTAGAGAGGGTGAGAAAACCTTGAAAGGATAGTTATAGGCAATCCAACCTTAATCAGGACCAATATCATCATGAAACAAAGGAAAACCAATGAAGACAATAGGAACTTGATGGTGAACTGTACACTTAGGACGGAAAATCGAAGACGGAACAGAAGTTCTGAAAATTGTACAAAAGTGGGCTACAGTTCCTAATTTTTCCTCGTATTCTTCGGATCACTGTTACAGCATTCTTCTTGCGTTTTCTACATAGTTATTAACACCTGATCTGCTGAAGATTTGTTGACTTCTGTTAACTACCAAACCACTTATGCAAATTACTCCCCCAATCAACAGTCCGGTAGTTCAGACACAGTTGTTAGTGCAACATGCAACAGTGTTAGGCAGCTAAGTAGTAATCTCGCATGCAAACAGATTCCCTGGTAAACGAACTATTAGGTGGAAGAGACGATAAACATGCAATCAGCGTAATAAAAGCATTAGCTAGACGACTGTCTTCACCGCTACTCAACACTGGTTGTTATATGAGCACAAGAATTTGCTCTGTACTTACTTTACTGATTGATTTGCTAATAAATTAAGGGATGAGGACTGCTCACGAAACTGTATTCTCTCGGCGCAATTTGTAGTCAATTTATTCTCGGTTTGTCTCTTGTCTAGCATGATCGTTCCTTGGAGTTTATTCATTTCAAACTTCAGACAAAACCGAGGCAGGGGTCATAGAATTTCATCGTTAACATGAAGCGTCGATGATGATGCGTTTCATAGCGGGCCTTGCGAAAAGAGTAACCTAAGTGCAAAAATGAGTTTAGAAGTACGAAGTTCTTCATTACGAATTGTTCTCGTTCAACATTACTCAATTTGTAGACGATTAATACCAAACGTATTATTAGAAAGGTTAAAAATCGTCCCTAACCTTAATTCTATGGACATCTATGGAAGACAACAAATCAATCTTTGCTTTCGTCTAGCTTCATCGAAACTTACGCGAACAGAAAACGTAAACCAAGGTCATCAAACAAAATGTCGTCTCCACCAGTATTCATGTGTTTTTTTTTTCATATAGGCGTATTTAGGAATTAAGGCTAGCCGTTCCCGGACTATTTTGTTGTGCTATCTTTCCTGGGACGGAATTATGTTATGCAAACTCAAAAACCCGAGGTATAATTGCTATAGCAGAAGTGGTGTAGTGGCAAGGGGCGCCTACCTCACATGCACTCTCATGGGTTCGATTCCCGGATAGACAACTGCCTAGTTCAACCAAGCCTTCCATTCCACCAGGGTCGTTTAGTTGGTACCAGATTTGTCTGGGACGATATAAGCCCTGACTTGTACATCGACTGGCCTCCGCAAGTTATTGTGTAGGCCATATACGCATTCAATACGCCACTACGGTTCTGAATAGAAGTCGAATGCGTGGGATGTATGGTACATAGACCAGAGCCCCAGGTATAATGCACTTCATTTGATTGCCAACCTTAATCATTGGAAATCTCATGGAGTTAGTGAAAACCATCAAAATTGGAACGTTTGTACTATGTGCTGAGAATGGATCTGATAAAGAAAAAACGATGGGAACTCTGAAATCACTTGAAAAATTCCCCTGTTTGCCTTGAAATAACGCTTGGGATAGTGAAATCATTGTGCTTTTCAAATTACGTATACCAATCAGCATGAACAGCGGTGCTAACTATGGTTTACTAGTGGTACATTGAGAATACCTGATAGCGATGAAGATGGCACCGATTTAGTGGCTGTTCCATCAGCGCGCACCACCGTGTTCTCGTGTTTCAGCTGACCGCCGCCTGCAGGTGCGAAGCGCGATTAGCTAGCATTTTATGAGATTGGGTTACGATCATCGTGATCATGCACTTCGACGAGTCAACAATAACCTACCCATCGATCACACGCACATTCATACATCAATAACATGGTAAACCGCTTTGAAGCGTTAAGGAAAGCTTGCAGACGTCGCAACGCGACATCGCGAAATAAGTCTTCAGTAGCACTAGGGGCAAAACAAAACAACAGTATGGACAGGCAAAGCAGGCAGACTGCGGAAAACGGTGTGCAACCACTGAACGACGCAGATTTCATGAGAAAAGCTGACACAATATCTAAAAAAAAAAAAGGT